GCTAAGGGGAAACTAAAGCGACGTTAAGGCGAAATCATAGACAAAAGAGTAGTAAAATTGGGATTATAATTAAATATATAATTATTATAAACCATTGAATTAATCATTTTAAAGGATCAAAGAAATTACCAACTTCCATTAAAACACGATTAAAACTAAACAAGTTCTCGTAATCTCGAAAGCTCTGATGAGGGCAGTATAATAGAGGCAGTAAAGCTAAGAAAGATCTATTAATCAACTATTAATCAATTAGCCGATTGTTTCTAGAGCTCCTCATGAGGGCAGTATAATAGAGGCAGTAGAGCTAAAAAAGGTCTATTAATCAATCAACTTTTAATCAATCAGTTCATGAAGGCAGTATTATAGAGGCAGTAGATCTATAAAAGATTAATCAATCTTAGAGCTCCTCATAGGTGCTGAAAATTATGTTTTCACTTGTTTATACATTTTTTCTTTTAAATTGATTACCAGCCAATATGCAAAGACTATAGAAAAAATCCTGTCAACTGAATCACAAAAAAACGGCAATAGGATTTTCATCAACATAACAGAACGATATTTAATATAAAGGACTCTAATTGGATATCTAACCAAATGAAGAAGACTATTCTTACGTATAATTTTACGAGCTAGTTCCCGTATATGCCGGAACTCTTTTGGATGCTTAAAGAGAAGCATGACGGCTTTGCCAATTCCACTCGTCTTCAACACATGTTGATCTACATTTGGCATCTAGAGGAAAAAAAAGAAAAAAGTATAACCCATTAAAGACTTATTTTCAGTTGAGTCCTTCTGGTTATGAATTGGGCAGCACACCGGGAGACAATCTCTGATCAGAGAGAGATGGATATGAGGATATGAGAGGATGTTGATAATGGATATTAGAGTTTTATAACATCAAAATTGTATGTTTAATTAACAATATGGGCCTCATAAGGACACAAAATTCACAGTAGGTATACAAACAGTGAGAAAATGAGACAAAAAATATATTAAACACATACCTGAACGAGCGCTTTGAGCAGGCCTTCTCTTATGTGGTAATGAGGGAGACTCTTATCTGGAAGCGGCGTCAACCACTCTTTGATTGCTGTTAGAATACCGTTGTCAAGAAAAGCTATGTGAAGATCAGTCCTGATCAAAGCAAAATGGAGACATGTAACAATTTTGAAAAAAATTGGCATGTAATTGTAATACTAACTAGCTGATGACATCCTTTCATAAAGCTTAGAGAAAGCTATGAACAGTGGCATATCTGAAGGATGAGGGTGGGGGGTACGCACACCTCTCCAAAAATACTCGCCCATCCCCCCAAAAAAATCAAGCTCAAGTAGTTAACAATCACCTAAAATTACCCTATTTTATGAGCTGGCGCCCCTGACCTAATCATCGAGCCTCCTCATTCGCGGTTCCCCCCCCCCTCCATTTCAAGATGAGATGAGACATATATATGAGAGACTGGTGATGGGAGATGGATATAAGAGGTTAGTGATAAGAAATGGATATGAAAGGTTGATGATGAGAGGTGGAACAGAGAGGTTAGAGATGAGAGATATATATGAGACATTAGTGATGAGAGGTGGATATGAATGTCTGGTGATGCGAGATGGTGATGGAGATTGGTGATTAGGAATAGATATGAGACTGGTGATTAAAGGTAGATATGGGACATTGGTGATGAGATATAAATAATAAGAGGCTGTTGATGTGAGATGGATATAAAGAGGTTAGTGTTGAGATATGGATATGAAAAGGTTGGTGAAGAGAGATAGATATGAGAGAGTGAAGAAAAAGGGATATGAGAAGTTGGTGATGAGAGATAGATGGATATAAGAGGTTGGTGATGAGAGATGGATATTAGAAGTTAAGAAGGTGATAAGAGATGTATATGAGAGATCGGTGATATAACAATGAGATCTCTTCATTCAATAACACATTTATATTTTACACTTGTTCTTTTTCTATAGAAACACTTACTTATTTAAATGTTGTAAAACTGTTGGAAGGAGTTTTAACTTTGTTACTGCAGCCCTTTTGTTTTCATTTAATCTTCTGTCATCCTTAAACATAATAAAGTAAAAGATTATTATCCTTACACCATAATTGTTATCATTACAACTTAACTCAACTCATAGTTGTAATCACGGTTATCATCCCAACCATCATTAACATTCCCTTTCACAAAAACCTAATGTACAAACAAAAGTTGATGGAAATAGGGGTAAGATATAATAGGGATAGAAAAAATATTCAAATAAAACAATAAAAGTAGGTCACCAATTTGACTTGAAATGACAGTCAAAAGGCATAACCCCAAGACACCTTATGACTTGAGGGGTGTCTCAAAAAAGAGAAGAACATTCCCCCATATAAAAACTAAAAGGTTAGGCCTAAGTCATTCTTAATTCTATCATTCAGATACCCATTCAACTTAAATAATAATACTCTCTCTTACCTTAGCAGCTTCAATCATTTGCTTTATCATGGCGACAATGATGTCATCATTGTCATTGATGATATCATCCTGTCTCCTCTTTCTTCTCCGTGATTGGTTTTCCCTCTTTTTCCTTTCCAACATCAGATCAAAGTCTGACATTTCACTCCTTTGAAATAGGGAATACAAAAGAAAATCATTAGCAGAGTTTTTAAAGTGATAAACAGGTTATCTATATGAGGGAAACAAAGAGATGACTCTTCGATCTTCGCTATGAGAGTGTGGTCTGAAAAGTTGGCGATAAGATTACCAAAACTATTTGGCTACGTGAGAGTGCTATGAGAGCTTTGTGATGAGAAGAATAGGAGGGAATGGCTATTGGGAAAACCTATAAAAAGTTGGCGATTTGATGACTATAAAAGGTTGCCTACGAGGAAGTGCTATGAAAGGCTGGGAGTGCAGTAGCGGATACAGGAATTCCAAATACAGGGGCCTAGGGAGGGAAATTTACAGATGGAGAATCTAGAACATGGTGGGGCTGAGTTAAGAAAATATAGGATTATGGCACTTCTAGGTAGCCGGAAATAGCACTCTCAGACCCATCCACCTCCCCACCCCCCCATTTCCAATCCACTACTGGGATGAGATGACTACAACAGAAATACCAAGTTTGACGAAGTTTCAGATGTTGGACTTTTCTTTAATAACTCTTCTCCTAGATGTCAAGAAATGCATTAATTAATGCAAATTTACAAATCTGCACAACAATGTATACCAATAACAAATCAAAAATATTTAAACTTTTTCATAGTAACATCCTACAAGGTTACATTGATCTGGGCGTTGTCATCCGAAACAACCAAAATTGGATCAAACACTCCGAACATGAGGGGTCATTCTTTTGTTAACACCGGATATACTTGCAAAAAGAGATTAAAAGTTTTTAAAAATAAGGCAAATGGTGTGCTTACGTTCCACCTTTTCCTTCATCTTCAACCCCTTCATCTGAGTCTTCTGCGACATCTGGTTGAGGTGCCGGTTGCTCTTCCTCCTCTTCAATTGCTGCTACCGGTCCTTCATCATCATCATCGTCATCATCATCACTTACAAGTACGGCTAAAAGAATAAAGGCATAATACAATGTTAATCCTTGTATTTTGTTATAGCCACAAATACAGTCCATTTCCACTCTTCACATGTTTGGCAAACTCAGGACCTGCACATAATAAGTTTGGAAAACTAACATTTTCGGCCTGTTATGGCATCCATAGTCACATAAATGTTGGGTGAAGGGGTTGGGGGTGGGTGTGGGAGATGGGGACGGCCATTCCTATTGCCACTCCCTGGATCTGTCACTGTACCTTTTATCTTAAACTTTACCTGCTTTTTTCTTCACTGGAGCTGACTCAATTTCTGCATCTCCAAAACCCTAAAATATATCAAGTGGAAAAAATTATATCATTAGTGAATAAGAAACATAATTTTCATGGGCATAGGCTGGCGACA